GAAATCTGATATCAAAATATAGTAATTATTCAGAAATCACAAGAGCCTTTAGAATATATGAAGATCCAGAAGCCTGAATAAATTACAAGAAATTTTACTGTTTGGTTGGTTTTTCTTTCAAAGCTTTAAGTTTTATACTTAAAACCAACTCTCAACAGGCTGCAGTATTTTTTTTTCCTCAAAAGATCGATAAAATAATTCTGAAGAAATGGCTACACAAAGAAATATACATGTCTACAGAAATAGGAAATGAGATAGGAAGCAGAATTTTATTCTAGTAACCTTAGTTCTCTTACTACCAACTCCCTCCTAAAGAGACCTCAAGACATTTTATCCTGCACCAATCCAATAATGCACCTTTTCATCTAAAAGGTATTCTAATAAGATAAACCATACAGGAAAACCCATTAAATTTCAACTCCCTCTAATAATGCCTTCTGGTAGTTTTGGAGTCCTTTGGGGGGTGGGTTGAGGGGAATAATTTTCCTCCATTTTTTAGGATTTTCTGGGTAGTTTCAACTAAAATGATTAAATTGATTTATACGAACTAGTTTAAATTTCTAACTCGATAATCTCCTGCAGCACCTGGGTGGAAGTGTTATATAATTGTAACTAAAATATGCACTGTTTATACTGAACAACTATATTATCATGTTTTAAAGCACTGAACATCAAAGTTTCAAGCTCAGCTTCATGTACTGTAATTAGTTCTGTCAGGTACTGATGACCTGCACTCCCTCTTTTTAAAAGGTTAGTCATGCCAATGTAGTCTATTTTCTACATCATTCTTTCCCAGGATGCAGTTGAGTCTCCATAATTTAGTATTAAGAATATAAAACTGTCCTTTAATTGCTAATTTTTCCCTAGTAAAGTAGAAATGTCAAAAACATGTAATTTTAAAAATAAACTGAAGATGGAAAATTAAAAAGATTTTTCATAAGCTGCATAAAGGGAGTATTAATTTCAGGTATTATATAAACTGTGTATGGGATCTACAGTTCATCCTATGCAACCAGATATGTGTTCCTCCCCCCTCAAAAGACAGCCATGTCTTCTTGTGCAGTGTCAGCTGCATTCCTGAGACACGATGGTCAAGGTCAGGTCTCAAATGGACTGGTGTCTGATCTCCAGGGTTTTAACTCTGGCAAAGTGGATACCGTTGCCACCAATGACCCCTTCATTGACCTCAACTATATGGTCTATATATTCTGGTATGATTCTACCCATGTCAAATTCAATGGCATGGTTAAGGCTGAGAATGGGAAACTTGTCATCAGTGGAAAGTCCATTTCCATCTCTCAGGAGTGAGATCCTGCCAACATCAAATGGAGTGATGCTGGTGCTGCATATGTTGTGGAGTCCACTGGCACCTCTGCCACCATGGAGAAGGCTGGAATTTTCTTGAAGGGTAAAACCAAGAGGGTCAACATTCTGTCCCTTCTGCTCATGCTCCCATGTTTGTGATGAGTGTGAAACATGAGAAGTATAACAACTCCCTCAAGATTGTCAGCGATACCTCCTATACCACCAGCTGCTTGGCCTTTCTAGCCATGGTCAACCATGACAACTTTAGCATTGTGGAGGGACTCATGACCACAGTCCATGCCATCAGTGCTGAAGACCATGATGCCCCTTCTGTGAAGTGGTGGTGTTATGGCCAAGAGGCTGCCCAGAGCATCATCCCTGCTTCTACTGGCATCACCAAAGTTGTGGGCAAGGTCATCCCTGAGCCGAATGGGAAGCTCCCTGGCATGTCATTCCATGTCCTCACCCTCAACATGTCAGTTGTGGATCTGACCGTCAGGTCAGGCGAAAGCCTCCAGATACGAAGACATTAAGAAGATAGTGAAGGTAGTGAAGCAGGCATCAGAGGGTTGTCTCCTGAAACTTTAATAGTAACCCCCACCCTTCCATCTTTGATGATGAGACTGGCATTGACCTCAAATACCATTTTGTTCAGCTCATTTCCTGGTACAACAATGAAGTTAGCTACTGAAACCAAGTCGTAGACTTTAGGATCCACATGGCCTCGAAGGAATAAGAGCCCCCTGGATCATCAGCTCTAGTAAAAGCACAAGAGGAAGAAAGAAGCCTCAGCCACTGGGGAGTCCTTGCCCCCTACTCATCCCCAACACACAGAGACGGTCTCAACCTTGAAACTGATGTTTCTATCCCAGGCCCCCTAAAGGACAGGAGGGGTTTAGAAAGCGCTACCTTGTCATAGATCAATAAAAAATACTGTACCCAGACCAAAAAAAAGGGGGGGGAGAACAAAATAACTTACCTATACATTTCAAATATTTAAGCAGACATATGTACATATTAGAAATCTGAAAAGGTTTATGCTGTACTCTTTTTTTGCATATATTTGATATACTTGATATTTCAAAGGTCAACCAAAGACATGTGTCATTCTTCAAAGATAATTCTAAACAACCCAAAAATATAGCCTTAGAGCAAAGTATCTAACTCATTTTTATGAAAATATGATTAAGCTACCTTTTCAGCATGAAGCTATATTTCCTTTCAAATTACATAGTTAACAATATCTTCTCTTACAATAGGGAAGACTTTTAACTTTTCCATGTAAAGAAAAGTTGCAAATCCAGCAATTTTTAATTTTATTTATTATTATTGGGAGGGCGGAGAAGGGGGAGAGCAAGAGAATCTTAGGCAGGCTCCAATGTCCAGTGTAGGGCAGGTGATGCGGAACTCGATCTCACAACCCTGAGATCATGACCTGAGCCAAAAAAGAGAGTCAGACGCTTAGCCGACTGAGTCACCCACATGCCCCCAGCAATTTTTTTTGAATCACAATAAAGTTTGGTAGAAAAAATTTTCATTATGGATATGAATCTGTTGAAAACAAAAATCATAGAACTTTTTAAAGATTTCAACCCAACAATGAAGTAGGTTCCTAATAAATTACTCTGGAAGCATAAGTTAATATATGGAAGATATTCTAAAAGTTGTTACCAAACAGGTTTAATGAAAGGCTTTATGGATATTAAAAATAAATTCTGCATAGTAAACTCTACATAAAAACAATTACAAAGCTGTTCATTAGTTTTAATTAAGTGAAGATGAAATCATTTACAATGGCTTTTGAGGAGGATTTTTTTTTAAACACTTCAAATTATAGGTCATAACTTATCTAAATTTTGAAAACTGTAATAGTGATTTCAAATGTATGTTTGGTATTATAGTAATGGGACAGCATTATACAGCACAGAATATTTTATAAACTTGTCTAAATTAAGCTAATTATTAACCCTTTTTAATACCCTGATTATAAAAGATCTATAGAGGGAAAAAGGGGGCATTTTTACATGAAAAAGGTGATGCAAAACCTGAAAATTCTTCCTTATATTAAAAAACTGAAATTTATTACACTGAAATCTCCTACTAATTTCAGAAGTATAAATTCTGATGAGAGAAAACACTCTCTAAAGGCCTGAGATAGAAGAGAGGCCATTTCAGGTTCCTTTCTAAGTCAGCATGACTGTATGTTAACTTTGTTTAATCCAGAAGCCTGATTTATGGCTCACCAAGCATACACTATTCACCTGCTTCATAAATGAGTGGCTTAACAGAAAACCATCTTGTCCTTATGATATTGATCAATGCTCCTACTCCTTGCATTTCTTGATGTTAAAACCTGTGATTCCTGCCTATATGCTAATCTATAATCTTTTGAGCTTTACAAAATGTAAAAAAGCATATAATCCTGTAAAAACTGTTCATTCCCCAGAGCACTTTCTTCCTTGTGAAGTGCATGTTTTCCGGCCAGCTGTTCTAACTTGGGCTTGAATAAAACACTTACCTTCAGAGATTCAACAAATCCTAATTTTAAATAACATTTTATATTTAGAATATTATCAGGATCTTGATAAAAAATTAAATATATCCTTGCTTTTAGTAAATTCATATCACAGAACTAAAACAACTTTAATACTTATAATACAGTCTTAAAATTATTAGTAAATATCTTCTCCAGATATATTAAATTTCTAAAATTGGTTATAAGTAGTTCTTAATATTGTCAAAATAAACTATTAACCAAAATGGTATTCAACTTTTATATAATTCCTCAACAAGTTGACATTTGTCAATAGGAAGTTACTAACTGCAATTCTACACCTGATAATTTGTAGGACTTCTGAAGCTGGGCCAGAGGAAGCTTGTATCTCAGTCAAGACAAAAGCTGTGTGGAGCTGGTCCTGGTAACTGCCTCAAGTAATTATTCTATTAATAAGGAGGGCTTTTCCAACAAGAAATAAGAGGCACAGTATCATCTTCCATTTTCTTCTGTCTAGTACCAAAGAAATAAACCTGATCTACTAATCAAAACCAAAGGAGGATTTAAAAAAAAGGGGGGGGGGGAATACAACCTTTCCATTTCACCTAATTCCCATACAACAGCCTCAAAATCCCCACCACTTTAATACTCTGGTACAAAAAGCCATCTGGAGAGGTGTTAGAAGACTGCTGGGCCCTAGTCCCAGAGATTCTGATTCAGTGGGTCTGAATCAGATAATTTGTATTTCTAATGATTCCCAGGTGATGCTGATGCTGCTAATCCAAATACCACATTTTAAATAGCACTACTTTAGATAATCCTTTATTACAGAGATACTCCAATTTAACCATTTTTCTGCTGTTGAACGTTTGTTTCTAATGATATGTTCCTGTAAATAATGTTTCAGCAAACACTCGTGTCTATCATTAGAAATAACATACAAGCTTTTTAAGGTTCTTGATACACGTTGCTCTAAGCTATATCTTCCACTCCTAGCACTGTATATGGAGCATCAGCTCTATCAACTGAGTAATACAGAAAATCATCATTTACTGTTACTGTTATCAATTTAATAGGAGAAAGGTTATTCTATTTTAGTTTGCATTTCCTTCACTGCTGGTGAGAACAAGCCTTTCTTCCACTTACGTATTAGCACTTAATATTTCTTTTGTTTATATTGGTTGCTGTTTTTTTCTATTGTTGAGCTAGTGTCTAAAATGTTTATCAGTTAAAGCAATCTATGATATTTTTTGTACCTAATTTTCTCACTTGCCCATATAAGGTATCACTGTTTATTTTGTTTGACATATGGAGTTTGAAAACTAGAAGTGATCCAACCTACTGATCTTTCCTGACACTTTCCATTGCTATCATGCTTAGAAAACTGTTTCTTACCAACACAGAATAATTCCCATTTAGCTACTCTTAGTTTTGTATTAAAAAAAAAAATTGTTCCTCAATTTTGTTTTAGTATAACGAGTTAAGTATCTAGCTTTTATTTTTCTCCAAATTGTTCATCAATTTCCCAAAGTCCTCCTGCATATAATACAGGAAAAAAAAACATTAAAAAAAAAAAAGGACATAAAAATGCCATCACATTCAAGGGTTCAAATCACATATATACAAGGGTCTACTTCTGGACAATCCATTCTGTTCCACTTAAATGTTTAGTAAATATTACATCAGTAGGACACGGTTTCAAATTCTGTAGCTTTACCAGCACACTGACATCTGGTAGGGCAAGCCCTACCCCATCCATCATGATGGGCAAACTCAAATCTGTCTGGGTTTCATTTTCTCACAAGTGTTAGTTGGGTCTGCGTCTACTTCTGGAACTTGCTATGAGGAATTAGCTCAAAATATATACATGAAGACACTCTGAAACTATAAAGAACTACACAGTGAGCTCTAAGTTATCATCTACATTTGACTATATAATTATAGATGACCTCTTCAAATAATACAATTCACAGGTAGAAGTTAACATGAATAAAATATCAGTTATGAATACTTCTGTGTTACACAAAATGGATAATTGTTATATACATTTTCTGTGTAGAAAATAATCCTTCTAGCTCATCTGAGTAAAAGAAAAACAAGTTGGTGCCTGTTTGTGAGTCAAAGAAAGAAAAAAGGGATGGTGAAATCATTACATCTGTGCAAGATTTCAGTTTCTCAAAGCTGTGGAAACAGATAACAAGGCCAGTTTTACAAGTAGAAGTCAATTTAACTTTTTTAACCCCTTTAATTTCATTCCACAAAGAAAAGATATTAACAGAATGTGAATACAAACCTTAGAATAATTTTTGTTCCCAAAATGCAGATCCTGACTCACTGCCTGTCCTAATACAGGAAGAATTCAGACAACAGAAAACACTCTCATTCAAGGAAGTCTTAAATTAGAAATAAATCTTGTACTATAACAAAGTTAGCACCTAAAACGTATCAGCACTGCCCCTTAAAAAGGTCCAAAGGCCCTAGATCATATGTATGGTACACAGAATCATTTTTTTTTTTAACCTAGTAGCAGGGACATTAGAGAATACTTTTTCTAATCCCCTTAATTAATAAGAGAACTAAGGCTTAAAAGCTAGGTCCAAAACCTCACTTTTTTGGCTAAGTAAACTGTAAACTTACTTTAGTAAATCACTGGTTTCCTGTTCACTATCCTGTGTTGTATCCAAAGAAAAGACATCTGACGGTTCAGCTGAGTTGGACTCGGATTCTTCTGCTGGAAGCGCCTGGGTTCCCAGGGAGCCACCAAAAATCTCCCTCTCCCTTTTCACCCCTTCCTCAGGATGGTCACCGGCATTTTGTAGATCTTTCTCAGTTCTGTCATGGTTATCTTTGAAAGAAGATTGCTTGGCATCACCAAGAGATGATTTTCCTGAGATATTGAATAAGTTACCAAGAAACTGAAAAAAGCTTTCTTTTGGCTGTCTATCGTTTTCTCCTATTTTGGTATCTGAGGTGGAACGGGAAAGGTCATTAGGCTTTTTGGAATCTTCCTGCGTTGGAGGAGTGATTAGCTTCTCAGCATGGTTCTTTTTGTCCTCACTTTGGGGAATCTTTGAAAAAGAAATAGAGAATTAATAAACATCATTAAAAAAAAATCACACAAATCAACTAATAACTTCTTATATGACACACTTTGTGCCAGACGCCAGGGATACATCTGTGAGTAAGACTGATGGCTTCTGATTCCTCCGGCCGTTTACAGTCTAGTGAAGGGCATGGTCAGCACAACTTAAAGCTATATAGTAAATGTCATGAAGGGAGAAATACAGCCCATGTGGGAAGCCAGAACAGGAGTAACCAGTCCAGGGTTGTTGGCAGTGACAGCAGAGGAGGTAAGGCAGAGGAGGATTCCTAGAAGTGCCCTCGGAGGACACGTACTACGTGACTATGTGATGCTTGTGCATCACCCTCCTTCCCTAGCTCTCTCTCCTCCTCCTCCCCCACTCCATTCAGTGATGTGCCAGCTTCTAGGAAGCTAAAGATGAATGGAGGTTAGGGTACAAAATGAGAAGAGTGAGGGATGTGTAGGGAGAGATAAGTAAAGGGACAGATCATGGCAAATTTTATGCATATTTAAATTTAGGCTTAATTACTCAGAGCTACTGGACAGTACTTTCAAGCACTCTGTACATTAGATAACACCTAAATAGACCTCATTTCAGCACTGTCCTAATCCATGAAGAAGCTGTCACATTGTGTAAAATTGTTTCTCAGCAAGATGAGGAAAGACAGCAACATGGTGTTATCAGTTCAGAGAAAAAGCCCACTATCCTTAGTAGTAAACCACAAAATCCCCAGATGTGCATTAATGCAAACCCTGTGCAGTACTGGGAACTCTTGCAGATGTTCAACACTTCCACGGGTGTGTTTTACCTGCTCATGATGAAGTTACTAGTAAAACACACTTACACTCCTGTGTACTCTCTGTGAGCAAAGACTGAGCTGCTCTATCAAAGAGTTTACTGGCACTCCCTGTCACACTCTCCCCTGAAGCTTCATTAACCTTAGGCCCATGTGCCAACTCAGCCTGCCTTCCAAACGTGCCTACTCACCTACTTGTAAAAGGAATGCCTGTCTGACAGTATCTGTCAGATGTCATGCTCACTAGTCCATGCACACTAGCTCCAGTGTGAGTCAGAAAAAAGATCAGAAGAGCAAGGTAAAACCACCTTAGGGCACTGTCAGTTCACATGACAAAGTTTTATAGGAGGCTGATCCTCAAGGAGGCAAGAGCATCATAATTTCAATGTTATTTGTTTACCTCGTTCCATATTTTAATCCAAATTCAAAATAGTTTTAATGGAGTGTTCCGCTAACCACTAATACAATTTAGCATATGAAAGCTTGAGAAAAGGTTTAGAACCTATTAGCCCAGGTAATTAATATCACACAATATTTAAAGTCTGTTCTCCACCTTCAGAGTCAGAGGGTACTTTTGAGGAAACATTCAGATAGCAATTTTCTATGTGTCAGGAGCTTAAGAAACTCGTGAGTCTCTACATTTAGAATATGACCAACCTTCCAGAGTCACTCAAAAGTCTCACCTTTTACTGGTCTCAACTGCAACTCACTCTCACTTGTCTCCACCTCATCCCCCCAACCTTGTGCTCATTATTGGGAGAATGTGCTATAAATTAGCTGTGTCCTCTCCTCACATAAAGGGCCTCTCAGTTTGGCAAAAGAAATGCTAGCTGACTTTTCCAAAATGCTCATGTGTATGAAGATATACATTTTTTGTCCTTTAACTATGCCATTTAATTTGTTGTAATTATCAGCCACAACATTTCTTCCTGAGTTAAAATGAACTAAGACTGTAACATGAACATAACAGTGAATCTCTTTTTTTTTCTATAGCTAGTATGAATGACTGCTCTTCCTGGGTAGCTATCTGACGGTAGTAAACCATAGGCTATTCATTAGAATATCGTAAGTATTCTTAAAATGCTTCAGAGATTCACAAGAGTCTTATAAAATTGGGGCAATGGTTTAAAAAAAGGGGGGACATTAATAGAACATGGAGATTACATTTTTTGACATCGATAAAATCTCAAGATGACTTCTGTCAAAATACTATTTATTTCACTGCCTCAGCTATTTTTTACTTGATAATTCCTTCCAAAATACAATAAACTGCTTTCTAAACAAAAGAGGTACATTTTGCTAAACAAGTGAAAACCTTTACATTTAACTTTTATTTTTTAAAAAGATTTTACTTATGTATTTGAGAGAGACAGAGAGAGAGGAGAGTGAGCGAGCAGGGGAGGAACAGAGAGAGAGAGATGGACAAGACGACTCCACCAAGAGCATGGAGCCCCACGTGGGGCTTGATCTCACGACCCTGAGGATCATGACCTGAGCTGAAATCAAGAGTCAGAGGCTTAACCGACTGAGCCATCCAAGTGCCCCTAGATTTAACCTTTTTAGAATTATACAAAAAATTTCTTTTGAAAATCACTTTTTTCCTTCCCTTTATTTTCAGCTTCTTTGCTATTCCAGAATCCCTGTATCTTCAGTTTACTAAAGAGCATTTTTTGTCCTTAGATGTCTCCATTTCTTAATTTTTCCCTAATAATCTTCTGAGAAATTTGTGTCAGTGAAACACTCCCAAGAAGAAAAAAGCATCTAAATCTAGGAACAAAAACTAGCAGAAAAGAGCACTGCTATTCAAAGTAAACACAATAAATTCTTTATTTATATAATTAAAATTTTAAGTCTGATCTAAAACAGCTGCTCTTTCCCCTCAGCCTAAACAACAATAAAATTCAGCCTGCCACAAGCGAAGGCCAATGGAAGTTGCTGCCTGCCAACAGGACCGCCTGCCAATGTTCCAACAAGTAGAATGAAAGCAGTCAGGATTCAAGCAAACAAAACATCAATTCCAGTTGCTCTCAAAGATGCTGGCATTCCACATATAACAACAAAGGCTACTGATGAAGGCATATGTAACTGGGGAATCTGAAATTTTTTCCCTTCACACTCAATTTGCTATAATGCAATGTCCTTAGGTCAATTTCATCCATCTATCTCCTCTCTTTGCTATGTGCCTAATACAGGGAAGCACAGGAAAGCATCAGGGACACTGATTAGTAAGACATAGTTTCAGCTTCAAGGAGCTTACAGTCTAGCAAGACACTCATTGCTTCTCACTGTGTGGGGCTTACAAGAGAATCCACTGCATAGAGGAGGTAACATTTGAGCTTGCTCCTGAAGGGTGAGAAGAGCATCCTAGACACACAGTATAATATGTACAAAGACACAGAATTATGAACTCTGTTTATCATGGCAGGGGTGTGGCTGAAGAAGACTGGGGTACAGAATAGAGAATGAGGTGGATAAGATGACTAATAGAAGCAGAGGCTGAGGGATAACAAAGTCATAGATCACTAAGTTTTCTAAATTGGGCAACAATTTGAGTAAAGTAAAAAATGGGTACAGGAAATAGGAGAGGTGAGATCCGGATCTTGTGGGGATGGGAGGAGGTAAGGCAACAAATTACTTAGATGTCAAACACTGAATTTTTGGTCCCCTGCTGATGTAAAGATGAGATGTCTGGAAAGTAGTCAGAAGTTCAGTTTAAGAACACAATCTGGCCATACACAGTGTATGCAGGATAAAAAGGGCTCTAGGGAAAAAAAAGATTAAAAGGAGGTGCAAATTAGAGAGAAATCAGTGAGAGATGGAGAAGGCAAAAACCAGACCAGGTCATCCCTCCAGAATACTGGTCTCCAAAGGCAAAGGACAAAGACTATTTCCAAAAGCAAGTGGGGAGTAAATGCCAAATGCCACTGTGAGGTCTAGAAAGATGACTATCCTCCCTCCCCCACTGTTCTTCAAAAACAACGGGTACACTCATGCCTTGGGAACTATATGTACATCGACTCTTCTCTCTGCTTAGATTTTCTTCCCCCCACATAGCTATATGACTCACTCCCCCTCACCTCCTTCAGACCTTTACTCACAAGTCACCTCTTCATTGAAAGCTTTCCCAGTCACTCCAAAATTGTCAATTCCTCCACTCTGAAAGTGCCAATATCCTCTGCTTTTTCTCCTTTGTACTTGCTAGTGTCCAAATATACACACACATATACACTTCCATTATTTAATATCTGTTTCTTCCTCTAGAAAGTAAAAGCCACAAGCGCAGGGATTTTTGTCTATTTCATTCAGTGCAGTATCTCTAGCATCTTGAGATGTGTCTGACAATCAGAGGTGCTCCAATAGTTGTTGGATTAGTAAATAAGTAATGAGGACTATACAGAAGCCCCACGAATGCAGGAGGAATAGTCTTAACAGCTCAGGAATGTGTTGAGTACAGCCCCAAACTCAAGGTGTTAAGCTGTGAGTAGGCAGGCAAGGGAATAGGAATAGTCAGTAAACAGAAGGGAATATTTTGAGAAATTTTTTTAACAACAACAAAAAAGACAGAATATGACAGTTTAAGGTTTAAGACAGAAAAAATGGTTTTTTGTTCTTGTTTTGTGGATCAGCTCTATACCTAACTGGAAAGAGAGTAACTGCTGTATGCGAGAGAAGGATGCCAGGTCCCAGAGTGAAAAGCATAAAGTGAGATAAAGAGACCAGTAGAGTCTCTAATACTTCTTCTAATAAAGGGAAAGTATTAGCCTTGGAGAGGATTAGGGACACGTCCTCTTCCAGGTAAAGAGGTAAGGAAGTGGCTAAGGCCTGAGCAATTCTGTAAATGGAGAAGACAAAGAGCAAGGTCCACCAAGTGGCTCTGACCTCAGTAAGTGAGAGGAGAGATGGTAAGCCAAAGGAGGGACACACAGGTGGAGCTGGGACTTGGGCTCCCCAAATAGAGAAGACTTGGACGAGTGTCTCTGGGGAATGCAGTACTAGGCTGAAATGGGTATACCAAGTAGCAGTTAGGGTCCATGCAAGCTCGAAATCATTCATTCATTCAGTAAATAAGAGCAAGATACCTTTCCAGGTGTTTAGATGCAACAGGAAAAAAAACAAAAAAAACAAAACACACCAATAGCCCGGCTTTCATGGAGCCCATGTTCTAGTGACATGAGAATTTATTTGCAGG